ATTATACGTACCAGTTGCTTTAGCGTCCAGTAACTCGTTTTCTTCACGCAATGGATTTATATGCTGCGTTCCGTTCTCACATCACACATTAACAGACTGGTCTCTTGTAACCTAGATGCAGTGTGTTATCTGGGAGGTAGGAACCGAGTTTTGAGATGTTGCGGCCAAGCATAATGAAGGCAGCGATGCCAGGCTACACGGTGTCACTCCGCGAGCGACAGTATTCCCCGTAGGCTGCTCTCTGACTCAGGCTTCTTATCGCGGCGTCCTGGTTTCGATTCCAGGGCAGGTCATGTGGGACGACAGTATCGTGAAGACACAGGATGTCCCAAGAAGAAAGGTCAGTATTCTGGGGGGTTTTATACTACGTACTGTTTCTATGTTCAAGTGACAAAGTTGGTCCAGTTGCTCGTCTGTACAGTGAAATTGCTCTATCTCGGAAACCGTTCGGAATAGGATACACGCACATATGCAATTTTTGCTTAGAATGGCCGATACTGTGACCTCCCAGAATATTGACATTTCCTCCTGGGGCATCTTGTATACTTCGAAGTACAGAAAGCGCTGGAGGATGTAACATCGCGCGTATTTTCTGTTGTGGTAATCTTTTTATGCATTGAACGGTTGCTTAAGAAGGGAAAGAGGCGGGTGCAGGACACGTCAGACTGGCTGGTTAGCTGTGCGGTGTCGGGCAGGCTTTATATCCCTGCTGTGGTTCTGCGGCCCCTCTTACTACTATCCCAGCAGCTGGATATGCTGGAGGGGGGGGGGGGAGCAGAGCGGACCCCGCATAAGAAGAGCTTTTCTGTAATTCGATTCTAAATGATGCAATAACTCCTATAAATGCTTGTGAAACCACAGATCCACGGTTGAAGAGACAATTTCCAGAAGATTTTAACGGGGAATTGTACCGTTCGAAGCGCGAGACGAGAGAGCGAGCGAGAGAGAGAGTTGTCTGCAGTCTAGCTGCAGTTGTCAATGCAGGTGCACCCCGAGGCAGTAGCACGAGTGGCTTCCCAGTCAGAAGATGTGGATAATGCGATTTAGTCCGTCTGCTTTTAATTCGCAGTATTTATTTTTCATTTTTCTCTCTTCCTTTCTCTCCTTACAGCTTCTATACTTCCTTTTTGTTCTCATGCTCCTCCTCGTCTCCTTGAACTCTTCACGCCCTCACGTCCTCGTTTCGTTGCAGTTCTGATCAACAGGTTATTAACAGCTGTCGTATGTACTGTGTTGCTCGTTGCGGTGGAACTCTGTGATACAGCGCGTGACTACACTCTACAGCATGTCTTCACTAGCAACTATACAACAGCCGCTGCTAAGTAACGGCTCCTTAAACAGGCACATTTCCACGGCAACAATTGCACTGCAGCAGTCAGAGCTACTTTACGGATGGTCGTTTATCGCCTTGGCGCCAAGCCCCTTGAGATTCACGACCAAATTTCTCTTTTGGCAACTGAACCCTTGCGGTCATAGTCCTCTCTGTCGAGAGGACGGGTTTGTTTCTTACGGATATGCTTCTTCGTCTCTGTCAAGTGTACGTATCGCACATGTAGCACAGGTCTACATGGTTATTCCTAGCCGCACTGCAACAGAGTCAGAGTCAGAGTCAGATTGAAGTGTGTTCCTGGATTTGTATTTAGTTCTATTATTGGCTGCGCCATAGCTCAAGCGGTTAGTCACTGGCTTCCCACAGCGGCGACCCCGGTTCCATCCCGGGTCTGGTCAAGTGGGATTTGTGGTGGACAAAGTGGCGCTGGGGCACGTTTTCTCCGAGTACTTTGGTTTCCCCTGCCAATTTTCATTCCACAAATTGCTCCACAATCACCCTCACCTATCATCTGGGGCTGGTACAATAGGCCAGAAGTGGCCGCAGTACAAGGACTTAGTCCCACCCCACTAGCAATAAAAAATAGTTCTATTATCGTGTTGTACTATAAATTCGAGAACGCTGCTGCCGTGACGGCGAAGTAAATTAGTTTTTAAATTGTAATAAAATCGATTCCACTCCCCCATACTCCTTCATGGCTTAGTGCTTAATTAGTTAAGCACAGGGACAACTTTACCCTTTTTAATAAAATCGATTAAAATGAAAAGGATTGTCAGTGGCTTAATGTCATCAGGTGGCGTCTAAATAAATAAAAACAAACAAATATAATGCATTATTGTTGAGTTGCAGATTTAAAATGATCCATTCTCAAGATGAAGAATGTTGTTCAATTTTTGTATTAACTGATAAGATGTATAATTATGGATTCCTGAAATTGTTAAAAAGGGCAGATGTAGGGTAGATGAAGAGTGACTGATTGTGGCGTGTCTGCTGAAAGCGAGAATTGTGAAGCCAGCAGCGACAGCCGTTGCTAGGTAACGGCTCCGCAAACACGCCTGTTGCTATGCAGTGTGGCTCAGCAGCCGTCGCGTGAACGCCGCAACAATAGAAAGCGCCACCCTGTGCGCGTGGCACACCGAGGGACCCGCTGTATGAAAATCAATGGCGGGCGGCCCGCCTGCGAGGAGTTATTACCAAAACGTGGCAAGGTTTGTGATGGGGGGCCCCGGGGAACGGCGCAAAAGAAATCGGAAAGCGATATTTCCTGAGCCCATCAAAACGCTGAGTGTTTTAAAGTACGCATTGTGCCACAGGGCGATTGGAAAGGCAAGAAACCCACTGCTTGGCGCACAGTGTGCCTAGGAGAGTCCACTGTTAGGTAACGACGTTGTCTCAGTTCGGTTAACGACGCTGGATCAACTGGGCAGGCTATGTAACGCCAGAGTTGAGAAAAACATTTGGAAGACTGAGCCAAGGTAACAACAGTTTTTTGGGAAGGCCAAAAATGGAACAGCGGACCGTCCGAACACCCAGCAGGAGGCCGCCTTTGTCTCCCGTGTTTCTTTGTAAGAGTTATGCGGCCGTGCGAACTACTGAGTTGGGAGAAAGATTAGCTGTCATTGTATTGTCCTGCGTATACTCTTATGGAAGTATCTTTGGCTTACGGAATATTCAAATAACAACATAGTGACTGCGCGAAATGTCTGGGTCTGTTAAAGGTAACGGACGGGTGACGTATTATAATCCTTCGGAGCACGAAAATGAATCCATCAGGGGTGGGTATCACAGGCCTTTCAAGGGTGTTTAATGACGATCTTGATTTTGATTAAATGCGTAGTGCAGTTCGAAAGGCACGGTTCCTGCAGCTCTTGGGGCCCAGTTACCGGCCATATTAACTGAAACTTTTTGTTTTACACAGTCCCCCCAATCTGATAACACAGTAGTCAAATACGCAACCTCCTCCTTCCAGTTCCATGCCTACTCAATGCCAGTGTTAATTCCTTTCCCGTCTGAGTTGAAGCTGTGTAACCTCTATAATTAGCACAGCGTCACATAATATATTAAATGAAGTAGTAGCTTGCACCGTGAAGTTTGACGCAGTATGAACCTTCGAAACAGTGGCACCCGATACCAGATTATACGGTGTCATTAACTGGAAACAGACCGTTACAATTCCCCTTATTCTCTAATATTATCATTTGATGCTGCAAAGCCTGTGCTGGTGATAGCGTCATTAAATAAGCACAGATGTGCACCGGCACCGCTGGGAGCCACAGGAAAAGAGCGAAAAGTCGAGGACCAGGCCTGGGCGGCGCGCCCTCCGGTCCATAGCTTGACGTGAACTTTTGCTCCACAGACAACAGCTTAATTAGACGCGACACTCCGGCTAATCTAATTGTGCTGCGTTTAGAGTTCGTGACCGCGAGATGGCAGCAGTCGACGCTACCCTGCGACTGTCCAACTGAATCCCTCTCGAGGCCACAATCCCCTTGGGGCCGATAGATCAAAATTGTCAGCACAACTACCATGAGGCATCAGTACTGATATGAAGCTCGACTGATTGCTAAATTGGTGCTGGTCCTTGCCAGCATAGCCATTCTTGGTTCCGACGGGACTCATGACCATATCGAAAAAGAAACCGGAAAGGATGGGGGGGGGCAAGAAATATAGGTCGGGTTTTGAAGGTTTCCAAGCAGTACCTGCTCGTCCTTCGGGTAGAGGTCACTCAAACGATCGGAGTTTATATATGACGTTGGAAGGGCTGCGTTGTAGTGAAGTTTTGTTCTGAAATTTCGATGTTACAATTACGAGGGCTGCATGTGGGTGGCACGGAGTGCGTCTAATTGCTATTTACGCATTGAGTTCGTGCCTCACAGGAAACACATAACGTCTCCGCTACTGAGCCCAACTGGTTAATGTTGTTTAAGGAAGTAATCGCTGTTTATTGCGAGAATCATACGGAACATATAAATACGCTATGTGCGGGCAAACTAGAGAGATATTGGACCTTAGAGACAGACTGCTGTACATCCGGAGGGAGCAATTTTATCAGGTCCGTGTTTGTCCTCTTCTGATCGAATTCTGTGGCGGCCTCTCCGTCCACTTGTTGTGTAAGGCACCCAGTCTCACAGCGGCCGGGCTCAGGGTACGCAGGCATACCCACGCTCTGTAATGAAATCAGAGCTGTGAAGAGGGGGGGCTATATCTGTCAGATTACCATTTAAAGCGACACCCCGCGCTAAATCAGATCTGCGCCAGCCCCCCGAGCTCTCGGAATCCATTACTTTCCAGCCGCAGAAAGGGGAAGGGAGAATGTAATTTCTGAAGAAAAGTGTGATTGCGGGGAAAGTGGCGAGTCACTGGAAGGATAAAAGTTTTTCTTTATTCCTATGTCATTTCTTTTATGCTCTGTTCTTCATCTAATCCATATATATCTTGTGCAACAGGAGGAGAGCCCAGTTGTGGTTTCTGCACGACAGCACTCGGGGGTATAATATGAGGTCTCGAGTGCGAACACTGACCGACAGGCATATGTCAACGGCGTACATATATATCGGAGCATGTCTCAGTGCGTCTCCACTCGGAGTGTACAGCCGGACTTTTCAGTGGTGGCCACTGCCCTGCGCATAAGGGGCGGAACCTGATGAGATTGTACGCGCTGTGTTTGCAGGGATTCCGGGCAGCGAGGTGCGCTGCGGCGACCCGGTCTGGGTGCTAGGTTGCAACATGGTGGGACACCACTGCAAGTGTGCCGAGGTCCCTGTGTGTCCGGGCGAGGAGGGCCCCTTCAGCTTCACGAGTCGCGAAGAATGCGAGATGAATCTTGCCGTCATGTTGGCGCATGAGCAATCGGACGCACAACAGCAAGGTAGGCTACAAGTTACAGATTTTTATAGTTTGACTGCTTTTACAGGATCGAACCCCGGGACGGACTGTTAAACCGCGGACCAAGGTGTATCTCCTTCACTGTTTGCTTTCTCATGTACGCGATGGATACGAGAAACTATTTTGACGGATTTATATATTTTGCACCTCACCCTCGCGCAGATAGATTTTTTTTCTGTGATGTAATCTCTCTCTCTATCTGCCTGCCTTGCGAGTTGCCTGAACTGCTGGATGTGTTTTATTCCTGTTGCTGTTCAAGAGTTCAGGTCAGTGTCGGCTGAATAGGAACATCCCAGCCCCAAAGAATATGGGCCCCTTAGGTGGGCCCTAAAACACGCAAAATGGCCATTATCTCGTAATGGACTTGAACGATTTTGATCAGATTTCGATTGTTCATGGGCGCCGTCTCCCTAAATAAAACTACATGGGCAGTATGGTCAGGAAACTAACGGTAGGCGCGCGCTCTGGAGCCCGATCGCGAAATGTCGGCCTTGTCGAAACCTGTTTTGTATGACACCGTGAGGAATGTACACTAAATTAGTGCCGAATGATTAGGGGGACTAAGGATGAATTGGGAAGGATTTCAAACTAAGCGGACGGAGCTACTTGCTGTCCTAATTATTCAAGCAAAAAGCAGCCCTAAAAGACAAAAAAAACTTAGAACAAAATAATTGGAAAATTTAATTAAATAGGTTAGTGCTGATTTAAATAAATACAAAAATATAACTCTAGAGCCCTTTATTTAAAAATGAAAAGACAATACATTTATTCATTGACAGAAGACTCAGAAGTTGTACTTGTTTCTGAACGTAATAATGACCAGGTTTGAAGAAACTGTCTCAAGTTCTGTCTGAACAGACACCTTTCAACTGTGAACATCATTTCTCGCATTTCGATCCGGATTAACTGGAACCGGATTACCGAGGGCTTACTGCATTTTCCCTAGCAGCATGAAATACCCAAGGTGTGCAGGTCTCTCTTTCTAATGGATACTTTATATGCTTTTTGTATCGTGGAAACTGAATGTTTGCGTCTCATTTAGGTGAACATCTCCCGCGTGGAGGCGGCTTAAAAGGGGACCCACTGCGGCGGGGGTATAACTTTGCCACCCTTGGCCCACTCATAGAGTATAGCGCGATAGCTCAGTCATTATAGTGCGATGGGAATTACGGTGTCTGTGCGCAATACACAGCTGGGAATGCATGGAGCTTTGCCCCTGTGCCGTGTGTGAACCTCGGACGCAGCGAACCGTAGACGGATGGACCTCAGTCTCCCCGCGGCCGCTGCTAATCAGTCCTGTGAAAGGCGCGCAAGACAGCATGCCCCCCTCACCACACACACACAGGCTGAAAGCGACTGCTAATTAAAAAGCTGCCGTCCTCCCGCCCGCCGCTCGGGTAATCACAGCGGCGGGCCTAATGAAGCGAACGACTGATTAATTCATATGGCGTGGGCCCCTGGGGGCACTCAGACGCTGACAGTCTCTTAGCTGCCTTGTGCGGAACCTCAGTGTTCTTCGACGCTGAGAGAGACCAGCTTATGGGACGCGACACCGTATAGGCCCGGTAGAAATTCACCGACGTTTCGTGATAAACACGTTTATTTTTAGATACATTTTATTATTATCCTCACATCTAGATTAGCATTCCCGCATCGTGTATATTGAAAATTCTGCACGCATTTCTCATCTGCCGCCTTGTGTTGGATGTCACCCTCGGTCCATTTTCTATCACCCCAATATTGCAAGCTATGAAGCTCTTCATTATGTAATTCTCTCCATTCTCCTGTTACTTCCTCCCTCTTAAGTTCAAATACTCCCCCCCCCCGCCCAGCAACTTGCTCGCAGACCCCCCTCCTTAATGCGAGAGACCATGATGATAAGAGAGACGCTCTCTTAAGTGGCACCGAGTGCAGCCTGCTCTCAGTTTCGGCGCTGTCGCCACGACGCTGCGTCACACTGTATCACACGGCACCGAGCCTGCACCCAACCCCGGAAGGAGAGGAAAGTGCATAGCAGATTTTCGTTTCCAGCTTGCGTGTTGGACGGTCGCAATCTGGTTATGAAGGTATTGCCGTGGTTAGTCCGGCACTTCTCACAGCTTTACAAGAGATTTCCTCAGCGGTTGGTCGCGGTGGACGTAGCGCACTCTTGTGATCAGGCGATATTCGCGCATGGTGACAGTTGAAACTGACACCGGGCCCAAAGGGAAGCACATGGGGTGGGTGGTGAGGGGTGCGGAGGGTGCTGTATTGGCGAGCGCTGCGTGAAGAGCCTCATAACTTGTGGTTCCCTTAAATTCGCTTGATCACATGAGCGAGTGACAGCTTCTGAACTGTTCCAGACAGTTAACCGAACCTAATGTGGTCCCCTGTGGTGTTGGCGTCGCGCTGCAGCATGGTGGTAAGTATGTGTACCACTTGCTTTTAACATACAGTAACCCTGCATTCTGCCCACAAAGTGTGTGTTCCATATGGCTCTCAACAATAAACAGCGACTGTCCCCCCCCCCAAACAGCATTATCCTGTTGGGCGTTGTCATGGAGATGGAGTGTGTTCCCTGCGAGGTACGGAACTGATTGTAGCTCTCTCGTCCAAGCGCAAGCCCTCTGATGAGGCCGCCGACTTCTAAACAAACCCGCACGCTTTTCGTATGAAGCGCTCGCGTGTGTGCGTGGAGAATTTGGTGAAGTATCGATTGCCATCGAGTCGCGCGCTAATGCCACTCTTGCGCGCCAGATCGCGTAGCATTTGTCAACGTTACGTTCTGTATGCAGATGAGCTCGACATCTGGTGAGAGCCGAGGGAGAGAGATTGAGAAGATTACGGGGCCAGGAACTTCATCACTGACACAGGCCACACACAGTGGCGTCGCGCGGCTGATCTTTTGAAAAAAGAAGACATTTGAAAGACCGGGAAACAGATGGGAGGGTGACATTAATGTGGTATAGTATAGCAACTTGTTCCTGTGCTTAATCATACATCATGCCATGAAGAGCTGTCTGTACAGCTCGACGCTGTCTTGATCGCGTAACTAGGTGAGAGGGAGCTTTCGCGCTCCGGCCGGTTTACCCACAGTGAAAGAGCCCACGATACGCATTCGTTAGGAGACTGTGTGAACTTTGTGTTGTACGGGCGTGAAACTTGGCCCCTGGCATTAAGGTAGGGACGCAGGGTGAGGGCGTTTGATGACAGGGTGCTGAGAGGAATATTTGGACAGAAGAATGTTGCTGCGGAAGTCAGATGGGCGGGGCATGCAGAACACATGGGAGAGCCAAAACTACGTACACAGTTTTGGTAGGAAAATTGAAGGAACGAGGCCGTTTGATTCGCAGATGGTGCGAGATAGGAATAGAATGTAAAGGTAAAGCTACTATCCCAGTAACAGGTCGTGGAGGCCCACAGTGTTGTGAGACGTCGAGGCTACCACGTTTTTTTCTAGACAGTCGGCTCACAGATGGCGGTGAAGTCAGCCTTACGCTCCGGCCTCCGCCCTTTATCCCCTGCAAGAAGATTCCTGGTACCCGAGGCTGAGTCGACACCATGGTGCCATAGTGCAGCTGGAAGGATAGGTGAATTGAAATATCTAGTGACCTCATGGGGCCGAATCGAACCCGCGACCTGCACAGGGGCTATCCCGACTGACATTTTCCGTGGTTTTTCCTCAGTCCCTCGGCCACGGCCGCTTCCCATCAGATCCATCAGCCACCCTTTTGAGTGTAGCTGACGTCGGCAGTTGCATGTTCGCAGTAACCGTGGAGACGGGGAATTCGATTCCGGGATCACAAGACCCCACGAGCCGATCTAATCAAGCGAGACAGGCCAAAGTTGATGTTGCGCCTCGGGCCGGCCTGCAGATTATATCGGGGCGCTTCCGTTTCTGTAGGAATCAATCCTCTTCCTTCGCCTTCTGTGACGAGGTTTCGGGAATTGGAAATGACGTCACTAGTCAGTCCCCTGACTGGACACTGCGTGGTTACACAGATTGCTGCAGCGAGTGGTTCAGGGTGCCACGTGTGGGTGTAGGGTGATCGGCGAAGAGCGAATTGGAAGGGCTGTGGAAGGAAGCTGGCGTGACATAATGAATGTACTATCCCAGAATATGGCTGGAGGGACCGAGGAAAACAACGAATGCCCCCCCCCCCATATTCAAACTGATTTCCTTGGAGCAGACGGCAGAATCGTCGTCAGCTCTCGGGCCGACCTATACCGCTGGAAACTTGTTGTGTACGGGTGTGGAACTTGGTCCCTCACATGAGTTTCATACTTCGTACCATATTACTAGGCTGGTCAAATGATGGAGGATGAGATGGTTGGGCGTGTAGCACGCATGGTGCGATGAGCGATGGGTACAACATTACTGGGAAGTCCTGAAGGCCAAAGAGCCAGTCGTACGTGGGGGATAATATTAAAATTCATCTTAAAGAAACAGGTGGCTGTGGATTGGATTCAGCTGGCTCTAAATAAGGTCTAATACCAGATTCTTTTGAAAACGATATTGAGCCTTCGGATTCCATAAATGGCCGCTTAATCTGTTGATTACGTGAGCGACTGTCAGCGTCTCAAGATGGACATGCATAGCGACGCATAGCTCGCAGTTTTTGTCCTCGGAATCTGAAGAAGGCAGCAGCACGAACTTGAGGCTGGTACAGGCGTTGACTGAGAAGGCAGACAGTTAACAGCTGTGTGGCCTGATCTGCGTACATCGCGTTGCTGCGTGTACTGTCGACGTGACGTCATCGTGGCGTTGCCCCGTATCGACCAAACGTCCAGCGTCGAACGTGGGCGGACGCCTGAGTCTGCGTTCACTTTCTACCGGCGTGGAGTGCGGGACAACCCAGTGGCCGGACGTGACTGAGGAAGAGAGTTCAATTTCTGGCAACGACAAGACAAATTTCTCTTCTCCACCGCTTCCAGACGTGGAAAAGAGGCCGTGGCCTGAATTATATCACTGAATCCATGTATTGCCGAAGGTAGGAATGCGTG